TGCCCTGCCCTGTTCTTAAGGTGACAGTTCCCATTTGGCATCCTGAAGTAGCTAACACAATATTGCACTTCTAATTTTGTCATAAATCACTGTCAACATGGACAGGTGACAAATTTTTCTTACTGTCTCTTCTCCTCTTGAAATGAATCATCAGGAGATATTTTAGCCAAACATGCTTCTCCAAAGAAAGCCACAGTGATGGAGGGAGGAACAACATATGATGCCCTGAAGAGATTTTGGGCAAAACTATTAGCCTATTTGTACAATTGTCAACGAGCACTACTATGATACTCTTCTGAGAGACGATCTTGGTTGTAAACAGTTCTATAGCTTACAGCACTCTTAAGAGTAGTTGGAGGAACTGGTGGCACTTGGAACTCCTGACCACTTGGCTCTAGGTATATTCGCCTCATTTCGATGTATTTGGGAGGGAAAGTGGATGTCATTTAGTTTCCTCTAAGGATTATAATTCTACTGAAATGTAGAGAAACATGATGGACATGCTAGAAGCGTGTCTTCCAAAATTATTTTTGCTGTCAGATTGTGCAGTTGGCTGATAACATCAAGCTTTACTTTCTTGTTTTCAGTGCTTGAAATATCACCGTATTTGTTGTTCAGTCTCTTCCAGATTGCCCAAAGCACTGTTACTTCATAAACAAGGGCTCAGAAAAACGAGATTTAGCAGGAGCCTTGGTCAGTAAAATCCCATTTAGCCATCCAAAGTGTGTGCCTGGTGTAATAGAGGTTCTTCGACATCAAGTGGCATGTAACACTCTTATTAGCAGCTGTGTCTCTGAGAAGCATGAAAATGAAGGTAAATCGTGTGGTTGGAAGTAACGGCAGAGCATTAGAGAGAAACGAACTTCTAAGATGGGTGTTAACGGATTTACTGCTCCCTTGCCAAAGCTGTCATTACTTGTGGAGTATTTCAAACTATAAAAATTCCTTAATTCTAGTATTACATGTTGTTGAATGTATTTTTTTTTTTTTTTAATCTCTGTGGCCTGACACTTCTATAAGCATAAACTAAGATGCTAAACAAATAGATTCTACTGTGTCAGTATTTTTTAGATTCTGGCATGTGATTCAGCCAAAAAGAGTCCATGTTCAATGGGTGGATATCACTAAATAGTATTTTTATTTCTAGATGATTCAGAACTGCTTTACTTTGAAGTGGTACCAGACAAGACCACCAGCTTTTCTGTCTTCTTCCCTCATCCTGTGAAAGAGAATTTAGCCTGTGGTACGTGTGGAATAATTGATACTGTCCTCTTTATTGGGCTGACAAGAGACTTGGTTCTACACAGGCTCTTGCACTGTGCTTCTTGGTTACAAACACATTCCAAGGGCTACTCTCTACTTTATACTCTCTGTGTATAAACTGCTTACTAAGCATGTTCTGTATTCAGCATAAACCAGAAAGCAATTGCAAATATTCAAGTCCTATTCTGTATTAGCCTGCAATTAATTAATAAATTGTAACTTCTACCATTTCTGATTTAAGTATACTAGGAAATAGCAAGTCTTACGCAAGAGCATTGGTGCATGGCCCTTCCCATTGACTTCAGTCTTACCTCTCTTGAAGTACTAGAACGAAAGGATGGTTTTCAATGTTTATAAAAATGTTTATTTTGAAGTATTTATATTCTGTTCTTATAGTGAGAATTGATGTTGTAACCTCCAGAGAAGTCCAATGTCACCTTCATTTAAATCCTCAAGATCCAACTCTAAATTCTAGTGATGACTTTATAGCAAGAGCCATGAAGCGGTAAGTACTTTTATTTTATTTCATAACAGTTGGAATGAACCTCAGATGTCAATGTCATAGAAATATCATGTGTGTCCCAAATGCCATAAACTCAGCAACCAGAAAACTCCACTCTAGTAAAAAGTTGTAATATAATAGTAAGAATACATCACTTTAATGTCTTAAGTGTCTCTTTCAAAAATTTTAAACATTACTAATGATGGAAAGTGTTTCTTTCTAGTAGAAAGCGTGTGGGGCATGGAAACAGAAACACTTTTGAATGAAGAGAGTTTTATCTTTTATAAAGATACTTTTTTCTTTTGTAAACATGCTTTTCTGAAGGCTCTAGCTCATGACAGGTGTAACTTGGAATAGCATGGAAAGGACTTTTTCCACATCTACCTAATACCAATCAGTGCTTCCTTTCAGAAAGTGAGGTGTATATGGCACGTCTACAACACTGTCCCTGGCTTGTTTTCTGAAACAAATTCCAAAAGAGTCAAGTTGCTGTGATATATGAACATACACTAGAGAAAGGACTGAGAGCACCAATTCATTTGGCATAAGCTAGCATACAGCTATTACCTATTTGATGTCAGCAAGGCTGGATTTTGAACCTGTTTGATTAGCCTGCCCTGTCTGAAGTCACAGGATAACAGATACTACTCCCAGAACCATGTAACTCTATCATCTGAGTAGGAAAAATCTCCTCTAGTGGATTGTGTTTTAGAGAAGATATGCTCTGTACCTGTCTTATACAAAACATGAAGGTTAAAATTACAAAACTCA